AACCAACCGTCTTATTAAATAAGAAACACAGAGCCGATTCAGAGAAGAAAGCCAAGAGGTCAGAGCTAAGAGCCTTACCCTTCCTGCTTCAGCCGAGAGCTCTTCGAAAAGGGAACTACTTTCTGTGTGTTTGTCTTTATAGTCTTTTTGTTCTGCCTTCTTATTGGTTGTAAACCCAAACACGACTGCCTCATCACTGCCTGTCTGTAGAGACTTCTAGGTCTTTTATGGTTGGGATTGAGATTAAAGGCGTGTGTCTCCAATGCTGGCTGTATCCTTTTACACACAGAGATCTACCTAGCTCTGTCTACCAAGTGCTGGGATTAAAGGCGTGCGCCACCACCGCCACGCTCTTGCTATGGCTGTAATAGCTCTGACCCCTGGGCAACTTTATTTATTAACATACAATTAAAATCACGTTTCAGTACAAGTAAAATACCACCACACAGCACTCATGTAAATACTGGGTAGGCTGGCTGCTTTCCAGCAGCTGTGGTACTCAGGAGGGACAGACAGGATCTCAGGAGTCAGCAGACTAGCTAGATGAGGCAAATCTGGGAGCGCTGAGTTAAACTGAAGGACCCAGCCTCAATATATAAGGTGGGGAGCGATCAAAACACTCTTTATTAACGCCTGTCCTGTCCTTCACAGGCATACACATGTGCACATTTACCCTTCCACCCGTCAGTGTATACACGTGAACATGTATGTGCACACACACACACACACACACACACACACACACACACACACACACACACACGCCAGAAAACCCACACAACCCAGCTGTGAAGACAGATGAATCCTCTGGTTTATTTCAAAATGGCATACTGTTGATCAAAGTAGCTGAGAGAAGAAAGGTAGGGAAAATAAAGAAATTTGGTGTGGCAATTGGAATGGGAAATGTCTTCCACAGGCTGGAAGTATTTGGGCACCTGGTCCCTAGGTTTTGAAAGTGAGTGACTAGGGTTAAACTCACCTGAGTGCTCTGCTTCTTGGGATGGCCGTAATGTGAAGAACTCTGCCACATCCTTCCTAGATCCTCAGAAACTGTGGTCCAAATCTTCGTTTCCACCCTTAAGTCGCTTCTCTCAGGTATTTTGTCAGTGACAGGAAAACCTGGTATGAGAATGATGAACAGATAGTTTAGCACAAGGTTTATGTTCCGGTTGCTGCAAGGTGGACTGCACATTTGCTTTAAAGAAAGCAGAAAGAAAGTGTTAACTACTCTTTGGCTGGTGAGCCAAGAACAAACCAGCTTACCAAAGGAAAAGTACTACGTTTTCCTACAGTTGAGGCCTAAGGAATCTTCCTGAGGCATCTCCTGAGGAGGATTTTGTGACACACAAAATATAACGCTGCAACAGTTCCCCTAAAATGTTCTAAAGCAGTCCTGGGAGAGTCTTCTAGTGTGTCTGCAGCAGGGGTGCCTACACTGGTGATGTGGAAACCAGGCTGGACAGAGAGAAGGGCTGGCGTCACAAATGACACTTTGGCATCACATTCTCAGTGACATGAGTGACTTTCCCTTTACATTATCAGAGAATTTCTTTTGAAATTAAAATAACTCAATTTTTATAGCTATAAGCACTATTTTAAAGCAACTTAATATATTCTAATTTCATATGTACACTCAGACATTCAGAGAACTTTCTTTAATTGGTGTATGGTAGTAGGCAAAAGAGAAGAATAGGAGATACTTCTGAAATTCAGGCCAGTCATGATAAAAGATTGAACTAGGGAAATATTTTGTACATTTATAGATCCCTTTCCTTTTTGTTAAAAAATTCATTGTTGTTTGTTTCCTGGTTTTGATGATTCAGATTTTAAATCTTACAAGTTAGTATGCTTTACAAAGTGCCACAACAAAAGTTGGATTACTATAACCATAATGACTTCTTATGCTTCTTAATGTGATTTATTCAAAATAGTAAATGGCATTGTAACATATTTAGTTAAAATAATTCACTGTTGCCGGGCGGTGGTGGCGCACGCCTTTAATCCCAGCACTCGGGAGGCAGAGGCAGGCAGATCTCTGTGAGTTCGAGGCCAGCCTGGACTACCAAGTGAGTTCCAGGAAAGGCGCAAAGCTACACAGAGAAACCCTGTTTTGAAAACCACCCCCCCAAAAAAAAAATCATTGTTAGCTGGGCAGCGATGGTGAACACCTTTAACCCCAGCACTTGAGAGGCAGAAGTAGGCAGATCTATGTGAGTTTGAGGCCAGCCTGGTCTACAGTGCGAGTTCTAGGACAGCCAGGGCTACAAGGAGAAACCCTGTCTCAAAACAAAACAAAACAAAACAAAACTATTGTTCGGTATGGTGATGCATACCTTTAATCCCAGCATTCAGGAGACAGGGCAGATGATCTCTGAGTTTGAGGCCAGCTTGGTCTGCATAGGAGTTCCAGGCTAGCCAAAGTTATATAGTTAGACTGTGTCTCAAAAACAACAAAACAAAACAAACAACAACAGAAAAAAAAAAAACAGAAAAAAATCAACTCATGACTTATAGGACATTCTTCAAAGAGGGACACACACAATTTATATTTTTAAAGTAAACTGTCAATTTTGAAAGAAGTTACCTCTGTTGTTACTTGACCAAGGTTAAGACAGGACTGACTAAGAATTATGACCAGGCATTTAGCAATTTTAGCTACTTCTTAAAGGCTTAGACTGGGTTTGGGAAGGTTGGGGGAGGTAAGGATTGATTGTATTTTTTTATTTAAAGGTGACTTAATCGTCTGAAGAAGACCAGTGTAATATCTTGAATATAGTATGTACTCTATAGATAATTAGTTAAATATGTTTAACTCACAAGTATCTTTATTATTGCACTTAACATGATGTGCCTCTTCAAGTGAACAAAAATTCTCTGAGAGTAGGTACCTAATATGTTCTTGTGATCTTTGGGATTTAATGTACTTTCTGATATTATTGTTGTTTAGTGGTCTCTCTCTCTCTCTCTCTCTCTCTCTCTCTCTCTCTCTCTCTCTCTCTTTCTCTCTTTCTCTTTCTCTCTCTCTCTCTCTCTCTCTCTCTCGTGTGTGTGTGTGTGTGTGTGTATGTGTGTGTGTGCGCAGATACAGCAGGGTGGTGGTGGCGCACACCTTTAATCCCAGCACTCTGGAGGCAGAGCCAGGCGGATCTCTGTGAGTTCGAGGCCAGCCTGGTCTACAGAGCGAGATCCAGGACAGGCACCAAAACTACACAGAGAAACCCTGTCTCAAAAAACAAACAAAAATAAATAAATAAAAAACAAACAAACAAAAATAAATAAATAAATAAAACATAGATACAGACTTTTACCATTGATAGCTTGATACTGGGTTGGCAAGGAAAGCTATTGTCCTCCATATTATTAGTCAGCAGATACTTGATTGATGTGACATTTGGTTTAGGCAAGTAAGTTATTGTGTTCAAAAGGCTTTTCTAAAGAGTTAACAGATTTTTTAAACAGCAAGTAGAAATTTAACTCTTGCAAAGTAAATGTCATTAATTATTCAAATTAATTTTAATTTCTTTATTGCAGGTAAATATTTGGCTTTCTTCCTCTTCCTTCTCCTTCTTTGAGACAAGGTCTCACTGTGTAGTCCAGGTTAGCCTTGAACTCATCCTCCTACCTTAGCCTTCTTCGTGCTAAGATTATGTGCATATGCCACCATGCCTGGCTATTTGGCTTTAAAAAAAAAAGTTTGATTTTTACAGCAATGGTAAGGGTTAAATGTGGGAGTAGAATCCAGGAGGAGTTGGGAGAAGGTGAGTATGATTGAAATGTATTGTGTACTTGTATGAAATTCTCAAGGAATAAATTACAAATTAAAAAAAAGTAGTATTTTTATTTTAAAAAATCCTGAAATTTGACATGAAAGGTGCAGTTATAAAAAAATTAATTTGGTGGCTGGGAATGTGGCTTAGAAGTAGGCTGCTTAAGCCGGGTGGTGGTGGTGCACGCCTTTAGTCCTACCACTCGGGAGGCAGAGGCCATTGGATCTCTATGAGTTCAAGGCCAGCCTAGTTTATAGAGTGAGTTTCAGGACATCCAGGGCTGTTACACAGAGAAACCCTGTCTCAAACCACCCTCCCCCACCCCCAAAAAAGTAGGCTGCTTAACTGGCATGCATAGTAGCCACATTGATTAGTTATTTTAATTAATATTTTCATTTAGGGTTCTTTTCCAAATTGGTAGCACTCACATGTTACAAAATGAAGAAGACACAGAAAGTTGTACAATTAGGTGTTTTTTATCAATGAAGCAAATGTGCCTTTCTTATTCCAACAGCTAGTTGCTTTTCTCAGAAGGAAGCTAAGGGACGCTTATTTATTTATTTATTTATTTATTTATTTATTTATTTATTTATTGTTTTTGCATCCCAATCAAAAGTTCCCCCTCCTTCCCTTCTTCACAGTCCCCTGCTCCCACTCCTCCTCCACTGTTTCTCTTCACATAGAGGCAGGCCTCCCAAGATTATCAGCCAGCCATGGTGTATCAAGTTGTAGTGAGACTAGGTACCTCCTCCTCTATTAAGGCTGATGAGGCAATCTTGTAGCAGGAATGTGTCCCAAAAAACTCAGTCAGAGATAGCCCCTGTTCTCACTGTTAGGAGTCTCACACGAAGACTATTAAGTTATACAACTGGAACCTATGTGGAGGACCTAAGTCAGTCCTATGCAGGCTCCCTGGTTGTCAGTTCAGTCTCTGTGAGCCCCTGTGAGCCCAGGTTAGTTGATTCTGTGTGTTTGCTTGTGTTCTTGATACCAAAGGTTCTACAGTCCTTTCAACCCCTCTTCTGTAGGAATCCCCTAGATCTGCCTAATGTTTGGCTGTGGGTCTGCATCTGTTTCCATCAGTTGCTGGATGAAGCCTCTCTGATGACAGTTGGGCTGGGCATCAGTTTCTCTGGGTTTGTGAGTTGTAGCATGATTCTCCTTTATAGCTAGTATTCACTTATGAGCTAAGGGACCCTTTTAATGTTGTTATTTCTTTTCTGATTAAAACAGATTGAAGATCTCAAACAGACAAATCATGACTTGGAAGAATATGTTAGGAAACTCTTGGATAGTAAGGAGGTGGTAAGCAGTCAAGTAGACGATTTAACCAACCACAATGAGCATCTTTGTAAAGAATTGATTAAAATTGATCAACTAGCAGAGCAATTAGAAAAAGAGAAAAATTTTGTGGTGGACACTGCCGACAAGGAACTTGAAGAAGCAAAGGTACTAAATTTACCATTGATAGTATTTTAATTGTACTATTAAGCATGTGATTATGAAATTAAGTTGGAAAAGTGAAATTTTCCTATCATTTGGAAGCTTTTTAGTTTGGCATATTTTAAGTCTGTTATAAGGATTAAATTGTATTTTTCTTATACTTCATTTCTTTACAATTTTTTGTTCATATTTTCCCTAAGTTTTATGAGCCTATTATGAAAATTTCAAAGCAACACAAATAGTCTCTGGATACAAAATTGCTCTGCTTTCCCTGTTCTTCTCTGTATATATCTGTAAACAAATAAAATCCCTACCCTTTTCAGAAAGGGTCTTGCTCTCCAGCCCAGGCTTATCTTGAATTGTGGTTCTTCTTGCTCAGTGTTCTGAGTACAGAATTACAGGCAGCATGCCTGACAATATAGTTATACAAACAGTGGTTTATCTTCTACTTTGAACCAAAATGAGAAACTTTTTATGTTGTTAAATTTGTTCATCCTGGTTGACTTGAGAGTTTTGGTTGTTTAGGAAGATGTTCTTATATCAAGAGCTGTAAACATATCTTCTAAAGTTTGCCTTTATATTTTTCAACACATACAGTTTATTCCTTTCATTTGAGGACACTTATCTGTAAGTAATTTCCTGGAGAAGGTCCTTAGAACTTCCTGTGAAAGTAGAGAGAGTGGCTTGTTTTTAGCTTGTAATAATTTACCTTCACACGGTTGCTACAAAAGTATTTAAAGGGCACTTCAAAGTAGCTTGTATGTCTTCAGTATTTTTCAATAAACGTGTCAGTTCACTTTAATCTTTCATGGTTTAGTGGTTAGTTGAGTACAGTCTTCATCTTGGCTATGAAAATTGTCAAATTGAAGAGTTTTACTGTCCTTTCTTCATATTAAAAATTAACTGTCTCCTTCCCAGACTGAAGAGGAAACATGATTGGCTGAATTCCAGCTCTTGAGTGTGCCCTTTGTAGACAGTATCTGTTTTCAAGATTTGTTTAAAACCTATTGACCAGATTGGAGTAGGGAGTAGGTAGGTGTCAGGGTGAATTCTCTGGTATTAAAAGGAAGAACTCCAGGGATGGAAAGCATCTGAATTATATGAGCTAGGTTTTACCTAAAAACAAAAATACTAAATTCATAGGTTGAAATTTTGCCTGGCTCAGAAAAGCATATTTCTAGACAAAATGATATTCATATATGATGTGGAATGTCTGCTACATTGGAGAATTGGAAAGCTATTTGAGCTTTTGAGGATGAGGTTGGCAGCATCTTTGGGATACCATTGTTGGAAAGAAAACCTGGGAACCATCGTAAATCAAGGACAAAAGAGGAATGGTTGCCTAGGGTTGGTGCCTTGAAATAAGGAAAGCAGCAACTTTAGTGATGTTGTAGGGCAGAAAGGGCAAGACCAATTTGGAGATGTGGACACCAACTCATGTTTTCAAAATCCTTTGCATTAGGTGTGCGTTGTAGGTTTATAATTATCAACGATACGTTTCTTGTATAACTTTTGGGATAGAACTTGAAATAGTTTCTAATTTGATTGCTGAAAAAGAATGCTTGTGATCTGGGTAATGGTGGCGCATGCCTTTAATCCCAGCACTCGGAAGGCAGAGATAGGCGGATCTCTGTATGTTTGAGGCCAGCCTGGTCTACAGAGAGAGTTCCAGGATAGGCCCCCAAAGCTACAGAGAAGCCCTGTTGAAAAACAAACAAAACAAAAATGATTGTGTTCTTACAGTATTTTGACATATTCTAAATATGTAGAAGTAGTGTCTGAGGCTAAAGATAGGATTAAATTTATTTACTGAGAAGAATTTACTTTCGGTTAGTCATTTTTAAATATTCATAAAGTAACCCCTTCTATTAAACTGTTTTTGAGTATTTACTATTGTGTTTTTTTATTTTTATGTAACAAGTTACTCTTGAAGCCGAGTGATTTCAAACAACAAACTGACTTACATTTCGGATTAGGGAGTGGTTCTGGTTCAGTTTCTCAGGAAAATGAACTAAAGGTGATGGTCAGATTGCAGTCATACCTTGATACTAGAACAGTTGCTTCTAAGATGGCTTCCTACAGATAGAGACTGACTGTCAGCAGGAGTCTTCTGTGCAATGCCAGGCTGACCACATTCTAGATGACAGCTGCCCACTGCTCTCTGAACCAGTGATCTGGGAGTGGTAACAAATTAGAATCTTGCAATGCGTATTATGAGCTAATCCACGCTATATTCCAGCATTTCCACCATCTCTGCTTTTTAAAATGACTCACTAAGCCAGCCATGGTGGCACATACTGTCATTTTAGCACCGGAGAGGCTAAGACAAGAAGATTGTGAGTTCATGGCAGGACAGGATTGCATAGAAAGACTGTCTTGAGGAAAAAGAAAGTGACTTATATAGAACTCACACTCAAGGAGTAGTCTGCATCTTCTAAAGCAGCAGTATTAGAGTTGGAGCACACATTAAGTTGGCAACTTTTGCCTTTGTTTGTCTTCACATCTCGAGTTACCATTTGTGATTTAATACAGCATTTTCCAGACAGTTGGATATGATTTTTTGTAATGTGAAGAGCAGAATTGCAATTTTACTATTGTTAGTTTCTTAGACCATATATGTTAGTTTATATATCTTTTTGAAACACAACTCATCAGTAGTAATGTTAAGGAAAAGTAACCTAAACCATAACTCACTAGCTATTATGCTAAGTGATATTTGCAATTAAACACAACTAAATTATGACTTTAATTAAAAGACATTTTCTAAGATGGCACCAGCATGTTTAAAATTTAATAATTCTATATGAGATATTGGAGTTATTTAACATAGGAGCTCCTTTCTGCAGCATGTGCACTTTTAATTTTATTTTACAATTATTTATTTTATAAGTATTTTGCCTGCATATATGTATGTACCACATATGTACCACCCAGTGCCTGCTGAGTACAGAAGAGGGTATCAAATTTTCAGGAATTGGAATTAAGTATGGCTGTGAACCACTGTGGAGGTGCTGAGATCTGAATCCAGGTCCTTTGCAAGAGCAGTGAATGCTGTTAATCTCTGACCCATCTCTCAAGCCTCAGCATGTGTACTTTAAAATGTTTTTAGTTTATTTTAGAATACCATATATGTGTACTATATTTATATCATTTTCCCCTTCCTTTTTCTCCCTCCAACTCCTTTCATATGTCTGTCTCTCCATCTCACTCCCTTTCAAACTCATGTCCTCTTTTTCTTTAATTAGTATTCTTACATATATGCATACACACATGCAGAAATAAATATATAAATATAACTTACTGAGTCCATTTAGTGTTGCTTGTATATGTATATCAGGGCTGAACATTTGGTATTGGATAACCAATTAGGAGGCTCATCTCTGGGGGAAACTGATTTTCCCTAATTGACTTGAAACCATTATTGAACTAGATCTCTGATACCCCTTTCATTATTGTTACCTTTGTATATGATTCAATCAGCCAAGATAATTGAATCTACTATATAGAAAACATGTAAAACTTAATATTAAGTTTGTAAAATCCTTTTGGATGTATGGATACCTTTCTTATTCTGCTTTCTAAAAAATATATTTTAAAATTATTTATTTTATTTCATGTATATGAGTGTTTTGCCTGAATGTATGTCTGTGTATCATGTGTGTTCCTTATACATATGAAGGCTAGAACAAGGCATCAGATCCCCTGGAACTGGAGTTACAGATGGTTATGAGCCATCGTGTGGGTGCAGGAAATTGAAACCAGGTTCCCTATAGGAGCAAAACATGCTCTTAACTGCTGAGCTATCTCTCCAGCCCCCTGCTTTATTTTTTGGGGTAGCTCTTTTCACACTGCCCTTCCTCCTCTCCTCTGCCTCAGCAACACTGGCCACCTTCCCGTTCCTTAGAGCTGGCTAGTTATTCTTTTGCACTTGGACATTTGCTGTAACAGTACTTTCTTCCTGGATATTCACACAGATTTTCCTGGGCCCTCCTCTTCAAACCTTGCTCAAAGGATGCCTTTCCATGGAGATTCCCTGATAGCTCTGTTTCAAATTTCAGTCTTGTTTTCCATAAATGCAGTATGCTTAGCTCTGCTTTTTCTTTGCCAGTGTAGTATACAACTTGTTATTAACTAACTTTTTTTTTTTTTTTTTTGGTTTTTTTCGAGACAGGGTTTCTCTGTGTAGCTTTGCGCCTTTCCTGGAACTCACTTGGTAGCCCAGGCTGGCCTCGAACTCACAGAGATCCGCCTGGCTCTGCCTCCCAAGTGCTGGGATTAAAGGCGTGCGCCACCACCGCCCGGCTAACTAACTTATTTTAACTTAAGAAAAAAGCATCTGTCGTAGCCACTTTTGACTGTCTTAGTTCTATTGCTGCAAAAAGACACCATAACCAAGGCAACTGTTAGAAACAAAGCTTTTAACTGGGTTCTTGTTTACAGTTTCAGAGGCTTAGTCCATTATCATGGGGAGCAGTTGAGAGCTACATTTTGATGTGCAGAAGGAGGGGACAGGGGAGACTGACTGGGTATGGAATGAGCTTTTGAAATCTCAAAGCTCTCCCTCAGTGACACACTTGTTCCAACAAGGCCACATCTCCTAATGTTTTCCAACAGTTCCACTCCCTGGTGACTAAGCATTCAAATATATGAGCCTATAGGAGCCATTCTTACTCCACCACAGTCATCTCTCCCAGCTGCAATGTTATGCCCCTAAAGACAGAAATCTTTACCTGTTTTGTTCACTTAAAGAAAAAAATCTCAAGGGCCTTAGAATTCGAGTGGTTATTGTGTATTTTTTGAGTGTCGTATTTGATATATATTTTGACTATTTTCTTTTCTTCTCTTTTTGACTAGATTATAAACTCTCCAGGGCAGAAATTTGTGTTTTGTTGTATTCATTGTGTTTTCCAGCATGAATAGTTATTACATTGTCAGGTACGCAATAAGCATCAATTAACCAGTTGTTAGGAAGGTGAAAAACACTGGATTAACACTTGTTCCTTTGGGATGGGTACAATTATTTTCTGGGTAGGATTATCACTTTTGTCACCATAAAGGTTATATATGTTTATTGTAAAAATTTCAAGTTCATGGTTATAACTCAGTGGTAGAGTGCTTTCCTAGAAAGGTTCAATCTCCAACACCCCTACCCTGTCCCCACAAACAACAAGAGTTCAGTTCACTTAGAAAACTAGTGAAGGAAATAATATTCACCACTATTATACTTATATCTAGACTCACTCTTCAGTTTATATGCTATTGGTTATGTTTCATCTGTTATCTAAGATATATACATACACTTTTTTTGAGGAAGTATCATACTGGATATCCTGTTTTACTGAGTTTTTGTACTTAACAAAGAACAAAAATCTTTACACATCTTTATATGAGGCTTATATCTGTTTAGTGCTTGCATAGTAGCTGTATTGGTCAGGGTTCTCTAGAGGAACAGACCCGATAGGATGGACCTATATATAGAAAGGGAGTTTATTAGAGTGGTTTATAGGTTGTGGTCCAGTTAGTCCATCAGTGGCTGTCTTCCAATGCAAAGTCCAAGAATCCAGTAGCTGTTCACTCCACCATGCTAGATGCCTCTGCTGGTCTTCAGTATATGCCAGAATCCTGAAGAAGTAGGAATGAACTCTCCAGTGAGAGTAGGGACAAGCAGGCAGAGAGCAAACACTTATTTCTTCCGTGTACTTTATATAGGCTGCCACTTGAAGGTATGGACCAGATTAAAGGTGTATCTTCCCATCTCCAAAGATCTGGATATAGGGCTGGTTTCCCACTTCAAATGATTTATTTAAGAAAGATCCTTGGAGGCAGAGCCAGGCGGATCTCTGTGAGTTCGAGGCCAGCCTGGTCTACAAAGTGAGTTCCAGGAAAGGCGCAAAACTACAGAGAAACCCTGTCTCGAAAAACCAAAAAAAAGAAAAAAAAAAAAAAAAGAAGAAAGATCTTTCACAAGTGTGCCCATATGCTTGGGTTTTAGTTAATTCCAGAGGTAGTTAAGTTGACAACCAGGGATAGCCATCACAGTAACATAAAATAAAACAATGAAAATTAATGATTCAGAGTTGTACATAAGTTTATACAACTATAAGTTATGTCCCAAACATTAAGACCCCTTAATATTTTATAAATTTCAGTGTGACTTCTAGAGGAATCTTAGAAGGATAATTAAAAAAAATGGGACTGGGATTGTATTGAATTTTATTCTTAACTAGTATGAGACCCTGGGCTTGATTCCCAGCAAAAGTAATTGTTCCAGAAAATTCAAATTTAAAATGTAGCACATGTATTTTAGTTTAGGATAATGAGAGGATGTTAATGAGTTGTAAGTGTATTCTTTGAACTTATTTACTGACTTTTAGCAGAGCTTTATCTGTCATAAAAACAGTCACTTGTTTTGAAACATATGACATAGATGTGTTACATATATAGTTATAGATGACAACTGTACTGTAAAACCGAGTATATGTTCATTGTCATAAAATTGATGCAAAGTGTTTTGTGAGTTGGGTGGAATGAAGGCATAAAATAGTTGAGAAGAGAAAGGAGCCTGAATGGGCAATTTGAGAACACGTTACTCCAGTCTTACTGCTTTCCTGTTATAATCTTCAGGATTGTAATTAATGCCAACATCTTGACCCAGTTAATGGAGAATAATGGTACAATATAGTAAGTTAATATTTTATGAAAAATATTGGGTCAAGGAACCACTTTTTTTATCTGGGTTGTTTTACCATTGAAGGTCCTTAAAATATTGTCTGTATGCTTTATTTTTAAATGGCTTCATTTTTAATACTCTTGCCAATGAAATCAGTTTAGGCATCTTCAGTATAAATAATAGAATTTCTAATTTTTCAGATTGAACTCATTTGCCAGCAAAATAATATAACAGTACTGGAAGATACAATTAAAAGGCTTAAATCTGTGAGTATGTTTTTCATAAATACATGGTAAGCAGTCATTTTTTACTTAGTAAGCTACTAAAAGGATTAAATATACTCTTTACTCATGCCTTTGTGAAAAATTAAAGCATTTTTGTTTTCTAAAGTTAACATCCACTGAAAGGTTTATAGGCAGCCTCATCGTAAGAGGTGCCTTTTTGCCTCCCTTTCATCACCGTTCCATTCTCCTAGATCAGTGCTTCTCAACCTTCCCAGTGCTGCGACCCTGTATCACAGTTCCCCATGCTGTGGTGACCCCCATCCATAACAGTATTTTCGTTGCTACTTCATAACTTTACTTTTACTATTCCTATGAATCATAATGTAAATATCTGTGTTTTTTGGTGGTCTTAAGCGACCCTGTGAAAGATTCATTCAACCCTCAAAGAGATCACTACCCACAGGTTGAGAACTGCTGTCCTAGAGGTTGAGAATAACTTTTGGTTGGTTTTAGCTGTTACTAGGTTTAAAATGGTGGCTCCCAGGCAAGCGGTGGTGGCACACACCTTTAATCCCAGCACTCGGGAGGCAGAGCTAGGTGGATCTCTGTGAGTTCGAGGCCAGCCTGGGCTACCAAGTGAGTTCCAGGAGAGGCGCAAAGCTACACAGAGAAACCCTGTCTCAAAAAACAAAAACAAATAAACAAAAAAAAATGGTGGCTCCCTAATTTTTAATTTTCAATATATAAGGTACATTTTTCTATACTTTAAATTTTATGCCTTTCATAATATTTTTAAGTTTTAAATTGTTACCTAGTACCATTGATGTTTTATTTCTCTAACTAACTCTATGAAATGAAAAGTTTTCTGTTCAAACATTTTAATCTTCCATTTAAAATACATAAAACACTATCTGAAACATGACAACTTTTTCTCAGTATTCATAAACCAAATATAAAAACACATTTTAAAAGAAGTGTTTCTAAATATATCCATGTGAATGGGAGTTCATGGGAAGCATCTGAGTGTCCAGGACACATTAGCATATCCATTCATTGAATGAGTGTTGCACAAATGCAGACACTGGAACGTGCTTTAAAAGTAGCATGTAAAGCCGGGCGGTGGTGGCGCACACCTTTAATCCCAGCACTCGGGAGGCAGAGGCAGGAGGATCTCTGTGAGTTCGAGGCCAGCCTGGTCTACAAAGTGAGTTCCAGGAAAGGCACAAAACTACAGAGAAACCCTGTCTCGAAAAACCAACAACAACAACAAAAAAAAAGTAGCATGTAAAGATTTCCAAACTCAGTCATTCTGTTTCTAAGATTTGCTTCAGGTCTGGATGTTTCTGAAATTCCTAGTATGTGTATATATATACACACACACACACACACACACACACACACATATATATATATACACATCTCTATTTTCTTCTCAAAATGTTTAAGTAAATGTAATATTTTATTCAAATAAAGTACACCAAAATGGTGAAATTGCTTTTAAAATGGTATATTGCTTTTTAAAAATAATTAATGAATAAGTTTTTAGATGTTCTATTTTTTGATGCCAAATTTAATATTTTGAAGACTCCTTTGTATTTTTATTTAGAAAAGTGTGCTATAATTTAGCTTGAAATAATTGCTTAATTTTTCCCTCCTTGGCAAGATAATTTTAGAGACTGAAAAAGCACAAAATAAATCTCCTTCTAGACTTGATTCCTTTGTCAAGACTTTAGAAGCAGACAGAGATTATTATAAAACTGAAGCTCAGAATTTGAGAAAAATGATCAGAAATAGATCTAAGAGTCCAAGACGCCCATCTCCAACTTCTCGGGTAGGTTTGGAAGAAATTTTTTAATATTTTAGTTTGTTTCTCAAGTACTGAATTTTATTCTTTGATTTATCCTTATCTTATTTGGAAATAATTTGATTTTTGTATAAATTACAGTATCAAAGAGGTTGGGAGGCAGATCTCTTTGATGGTACAGTGAACAACAAAGTTAGTTCTTTATTCCCAGAATAAGTTGTGGTTGGGAGATAATTAGACCAATTTAGTGCAATTTGAGATAAAGCTGTAAAAGAGGTAATTTTGTTGTTGATATTATTTTCTCTTATTCTGTAGTCATGCTTACGTAAGTAGAGATTGTACACTGCCACTACAGTAGTGTTTCATTAGTAGCATAAGTGAAAGGGTTTCAAGCCAGGAATGCTGATGCACACCTTTATTCTCAGCACTTGGGAGGCAGAGGCAGGAGGATCAGGAATTTAAGGCTAGTCCTGGCTTCATAGTGAGTTCAAGGCCAGCTTCGACCACATGAGACTGTCTTTAAAAAAAAAAAAAGAAAGAAAGAAAGAAAAAAAATAAAACAAGAAGAAATTCAGATATCTTAAATAATAATTCTAGGGTGCAAACTGTGATGTAGAGCTTTTGAAGTCAACAACAAGAGACCGTGAAGAACTGAAATGTATGCTGGAAAAATATGAACGTCATTTGGCAGAAATCCAGGGCAATGTCAAGGTTCTTACATCTGAGAGAGACAAGACCTTCCTTCTTTATGAGCAGGTAAGCGTGTAAGTACAAAGATTGTATAAGTAATAGCAGTCACTTTTAGAGCTTTGCAATTCTTCTGTAGGTTTTATGACCCTAATTAAACATGTCAATCAAATTAATCTAACACTTGGAAATTACATTTTTTCCTGAGATACTCTTTTTTCCTTTTCTTTCATTATGGTTCTGGGACTTGTACATTCTAGGCAAATACTCTACCACTAAGCTATATCCACAGCTCTGTTCTCAAAATATTTGTAATGAAAGGTATCGTATTTCTAGTAAAATAAGTACGAGCACACCTATATGTCATCCTTATATCTCATAAAAGAGTATATACATGCATAAAAAGTTTAATTTTTGGAATAAGAAATGAGGCCAGGGCTGAAGTTGTAGCTCACTGATGGAGTGCTTGCTAGCATGCACAGGCCCTAGGTTTTGATCCTTAACACGTCACAAAACGATAAAAGCGAAACAAATTAATGACAAAAACCATATCATTTGAGACTCTCATTTCTCTTTATTTATGTTCAAGGTAAAAACCTTTAGAATCTGGTGGGGGGAAGGTTCAGGAAGGTGGAATAAGATGGTATACATTCAGATAGTAACTGCTACCTGGCAGCAAGACATTTGGAACTGGATTAGGGAGAGAGGCAGGTACTGAATATGTGGCTTTAGAAGTCATCTTCTTAGAGGTGAGTTTTGAGCCTTCAGAATGAATGAGTTATGTAAATGAGAAGGCATTTACAGAGCAGAGAAGTCAAGATATAATCTTCAAGAGGCAGGGAAGAACCTTTGAAAGACAGAGAACAAGGACACAAAGGGAGAACAGGAGCCTGAGAAGAAAGGTCCTGGACCAGTGTGGATGCTGCCAGAAAATTAAGGGAACAGGAACTGAGAAAAGTTCATTACAGTTGGGAAGCGCCTTAGCTCAGGGTTTGCAGTGTTGGCGGCTAAAGGGAGAGGGGGCAGGTTACCCTGGGGTGACTGTGTGAATGTAACTGGCAGTGTGTATAGATTGTCCTTAAAAAAAAAAAAAAAGCCTGACAAAGGAGAAAAGACATAGCATGGTAGATGGGGGTAGCAGGGTGAGATGACAGATGGTCAAGCTAAGGGAAAACTATACATGTTGAAGGTGATGGGGGCTTGCTGGGAATGAGAGTAGAAAGAGCCAGGGGAAGGGGACACTACTCAGGATGAGAGAATATAGTTATCATTGAGTTAGGAAGATTTTTGAAAACACTAAGAAATGTGGTGAAGGCTAAGCTGTAGATATTGAGAAACTATATCTATTTCTGAACCTAGCAGACCCCTGAGTAGATAATGATCAAAACTGAGAGTCAGGAAGCAAAGTGGGATATGAAATCATCTGTAACATAAATCATGTGCAACAGGTCTGGGGCCTCAGGACTGTTTAACAAGTGTTCAGAGACTATGTTGGGCTGTGAGTAAGGACTGTTGGAACTTTCTGTCAGGATAAAAGTAGCCACGACAATAGCATATATAGAGCTATAGCAAACACAGAGAAAGATAAGCACTATGGAGTTTTCATTAGACAAGTATTCCACCTGAGCTGTGCTGAATTCAAATTTATATCTCAAAGTGGGCAAGTGGAATATATGAAATCTATTTCTTAGCTGTACACACCCACACACTCACACACATGCATACACATACACGCATACATACATATAGATTTGCTTGCACTTATTTGTGAACTCGAAAATAAAAGCTCTACCATTTCTTTGTTTTATTGTTGCTTGCATATTATTTCAGGTTTCTATTTTATCTGACTGGATATAAGATACTGTACGTGTCATTTAAAGTGTTTTTTTTTTTTTTAAATTCTCTGTATTTTTTATCATAGGCACAGGAAGAAATTGCTCGACTTCGAAGAGAAATGATGAAAAGCTGTAAGTCTCCTAAATCAACTACAGCACATGCTATTCTTCGTCGGGTAGAGACAGAAAGAGATGTAGCCTTCACTGACTTACGAAGAATGACCACAGAACGAGACAGTCTGAGAGAAAGGCTAAAGGTGTGCAATTAGTTTGTCTGTTTCACAGGGACAGCACAAGTGCGGTGACACTGAAAGTCCTTTGTTGTGCTTTGTGTTTTATACAGATTGCTCAGGAGACAGCATTTAATGAGAAGGCTCACTTGGAACAAAGGATAGAGGAGCTGGAGTGTACAGTTCATAACGTAAAACAAAACCTCTTTGGCTCTACTCCCCATAGTTTCCCCATTTCTCTTTTGCTGTGTTAGGAAGAATTCTCTTATTTTTCTAAGGTTGTGTTTGTAGTCCTAAAATACTTAAGATGGTGTGTGTGATGTGTTATTTTCATAATCCTATGTTACCTTTTCATTTAGTTATTTCCCTCTAGAAACATGAGTGAAGCCTTATATTTTTGTTGTGTTTGGTTGCAAAGCATTTTTTTGTTTTTATTGTTAGAATGTAGTCTCAGGATTTTAATTAATTAATTGCCTTTTTATTTTGGGAGGGGGTGGTACAAGGTCTCACTGTGTAGCCCAGGTTGGCTCTGAACCCGTGATTCTGCTGCTCCAGCCTCCTAAGTGTTGGCATTATGTACCATTACACTTGTCTAAAATTTCAGTTTTTCTCATCTCCCTGTTCTGTTAAAGATTATCTTGCCAAATATGGGTATATCAAGCATTCGAGATGCTCCAGATACATATTAGCAGTGTTCCAGGTACATAAACAGTTAAGGTTTGAGTGTACAGATAAATTCATTTGAGGTATTTTGTTGTAATAAGTAAAAAACAGACAAGAGAAAAAGGATTTCATTTTCATAATCCTACTCTATATGTAATGTATTAATCTTGAATAACAAAATATTTTTGCAAATTTAGTATGTAAATAGTCAAATGAACCAGATTGAGAAAGGTAGACTGATAATACTGAGATAGACGGGCTTTGTAGAAAAGCTATGTAGTGACTTGCTGTTATTCCTATTCTATAATACTTTATCTATAAAACCTTCTACAGTGTTCCAGTCTGCCCTAGTTGATTGTCTAATTGTGCAGATTCTGCCATAAGCTGCAGTTTGTAGGAGTCTGTCTCCATTGCTAAGACCAATGAGGCTACTCAGTGATCATAGTTAACTTTGCCATTCTGCTTGTGTAGCTTGATGATGAACGCATGGAACAAATGTCAAATATGACTTTGATGAAGGAAACCATAACCACTGTGGAAAAAGAAATGAAATCATTAGCAAGAAAGGCAATGGATACCGAAAGTGAACTTGGCAGACAAAAAGCAGAGAATAATTCCTTGAGGTAAAAACTACATTGCCGTTAGACAACCAACAGTTTGTTGTACTTAATTGCTCTGCTTTATAGTACATTTAATAATGAAAATTTAATTATCTGTTATCTCCAGTTTATGAAAAGAACTTGTAGGAAGCAGTTGTAGAAACCTCAGCGGCATGTAATGGTGTCCCCCAAATCACTCAGCCAGGAAACATGCTTATACTCATTTTAACCTTTAGTTTGCAACACATCAAGTTTATTCAAGCAGTTTTTATATAGCCTTCTGAGAACTGAGGCATTGAACCTCAGTATTTTATTGTTTAATTTACTTTTATAACTTTGAATTCTATTCTGAGGTCTGAACAATTTAACAAAGCCCATACTTGAAAACTTAGGGAAAGGATGGTTTCCAGCATAGGAGTAAATTGATTGGCTCTTTCATTACAATTGTATAGTGGCAGAGGCCACTAAAGCGGTGTGTGGGCAGGAAGAAAGCTCTGCCTTTGAGGTTCTCCATTATTGTTTGTTGATGTGAAACAAAGCTACTCAAGTTTTAGTAGAGTTGAATTTCTCTTTATCTGTAGACATGAAAAATGTTAGTTGGTGTGAATGTGAAATATATTATTTAATCTACAAATAATAATTGGGCCACATATGAGTTCCTAGACTCTCCCCTTGATCTTCCTAGGACTAGTGGTGCAGAGTAGGAATCACTTGTCAGGACAGATAATTACTCAAACTCCCTTCTTTTCCTTAAAAAACTTTCTTCCTTATAAGATTACTATAAATGCACACACACAAAAAAAATGAAAGTAATACCAAAACAAAAAAAAAAACAAGAAAGCAAACCCTGGGAGGTAAAAATAGGTAATAAAAGGTTAAAATCACCTATAACTCCATGACTCATGGAAAAACATTAGTGTAGAACTGCTTCCAGCCAGAAATCAGTCCATGTGTAGCATGGAAGTGTCCTGTGTAACTGAGTTCAGCCTGTGGCCTTTCTATCTGGCCTTTTCAATTTCATCACATAGGATTTCTGTGTTGTTAGAAAACATTTGTCTTAGAAAACATTTTAGTGTCTTATAATATTCTAGTGGAGAGATGTGTAATAATCTGGAGTAGAGTGGGTGTGTTTTGTTCCTTTGGTGTAGGATCTTGCTGTGTGGTTCTGCTTTGCAGTACCCTCCTTCTGTAGGGTAGCATTGTGCACCCTCTCAGCAGTTTTAGGGGATTTTTTTTCTGATGTATGCTGATTGGAAACTTTTATTGATGTATAACTGAAACATATACACTAAAATGTCAATATTTTATATATTAAGGTTGGAAATTTTTGACCTTTAAAACCATTACCACAGTCAAGATTCTGGCCTTATTCTGCATTCCTAAGTCTCCTCTTGCTCCTCTGTAATTTTCCACACATGCTGCTGATTCCTAGTTGACCATTGATTTTTATTTCAGGCATAGAGGTATTTGGATTGTCTAAAAATTTAAACCAATGAAATTGTATTATATATGTTGTTAATCAGTCTCCTTTCCCTCAGTGTAGTTACTTTGAGGTTTGTTCTTCAGGTATTCATGTTGTGTGTAATTTATACTCTTTGACTGCTGACTTGTATTCTGCTGTGTGGGTGTGCACATTGATAGTTGCACTGTTTCCACTTTGGGGCTATAATAAATAAAGCCACTAAGCTCTTCCCTATATAAGTCTTTGTGTGGACATATGTTTTTATTTCTTGGATCAATATCTAGGAATAGATGCCTGAGTCATATGATGCATTTTCCTTTCAGGGAAACCATTAAAGTCTTTTTCAGTGTGGCTGTAGTACTGCACATGTACTCCAGCAGTGTTGAGTTTTTCAGTATTTACATATCCTCACTGACATTTGGTATGCAGTTCATTTTTAACACCAGCTATTATTTTGTTGTATAGTTCTATTTTAAAGTTTTACAAAGGCTTTTTAAGCTTTATTCTAGAATAATTGTTGACTAAAATTATGTTTAAAGAATACAGTATAATGTTTTTGATACATAGACATTGTGAAATAATACTTTGGTGAACTTAGCTGGTGTAGTCACTGCTTCACAGTTCCTGTTTATACAGGTAAGTACCTAATGTTGGCATTTTGGCAGTTCTTTTCTGGCTCTTTGTTCCTTGTTGTCTTTGTGAGTTAGTGGTTTTCTGTATTGAGGCTACAATTCCATTATCTTTTGTGTATTACATTTGGTTCTTTGTGGTTATCATGAAGTTTACTACCACATTTTATAGTTCTGGCAGTCTTTTAAACTGATAACAATATCATTGACATGGAAGTGCAGATATCTATTGGAGATAAATATACTTCAGGTGCATATGCATGTAAGTGGCTTTGCTAGATCATTTTGGTAGCTGTATTTTTCAGTGTTTGAAGCACTTAACAAAAATAGTATACTCATAGATCAGTGCCTTGCTCAGCCATCTTCAGAGAAACTTCCCCCTGCAGCAGATGGGAACAAATATAGAAACCCACAGCCAGACATTATGCAGAGAGTGAGAGAGACCTTGGAGCACTCAGCCCTAAATGGATGTCTCCTTCAAACCCCACCTCAGAGCTCAGGGAACCCCAAGAAGAGGAGGTGGAGAGAATTTAAGAGCCAGAGGGGATGGAGGACACCCAAGAAAACAAGGCCCTCTAAATCAACATAAGCAAAGCTCATATGAACGCAACAGAGACTGAAGCAGCATGCACAGTGCCTGCATGGATCTGTACCAGGTCCTCTGTGTGTATATTATGGCTTCTGGTTTAGTGTTTTTATGGGATTCCTGAGTGTGTGAATCAGTGGGTCTCTGATTCTTGTGCCTTCTCTTGGGCTCTTTTCCTTCTGTTGGTTTGCCTTGTCCAACTTTGATGTGATAGTTTTTGTTTTATCTTATATTTTATTTTGTCATATTTTTAATATTATCTCTTAGAAGCCTGTTGTTTTCTAATGAGAGACAAAAAGAGAGTGGGTCTGGATGGGAAGGGAAGGGAGGAACTGGGAAAAGTAGAGGGAGGAGTTCAAAAACAAGAAATAAAAAATACAAAATTAATACATAAATAAAATAAAATGGTAGCTATTCTTATCAGAGTGAAGTGGTATTGCAGTTTTGATCTGCAAAGTTCATATCTCGATGTTTATATTTTCCCCAGAAGTGGAAAGTTTTAGTCAGTGTTTCTTTGCGTGTTTGCCTCTTCTCTTCTCTTCACCCCTGCAGAGTGAATGTTAGCTCTCTTGAGGGTCCTGTAGCCCTCCATTTCTCCTCGCTTTTTTCCTTCTCTAACAGTAGTTCTAAATATCCTATCTTTGAGTTCACAGTTAATTTCTTCTGACTTGTCACATTGGCTGCTAGTGCTGTTTCATTTTTAATCTTGATTATTTCTATTTTTAAGCCCAGAATTTCTATTGAGTTCCTGTTAATAATTTTAATCCATCCGTTGAATATTTTATTTGTACATTATTTTCCTGATTTCATTAACATGTCTATTTATGTTCTCTTATAACTTGATTAACTGCCTTAATCATTTATTTTAAATTTTTGGTCATACACCTTCTAGATTTATATTTTTTGAGGGATTGTATCAAGTTTCTGTGATTTTTCATGGTTCTTGCTTTGTGTTAATGGCTGTATATCTGACAGCTGAGGTTCAATAGGGAAGCATCTTCATATAGTAATGGGTCCAGTATCCAGTTCACACTCTGGTGAAGGCTCAGCAGCTCAGTCTTCATGCAGTGTGTCAGTTGGGGTCAGTGTCAGCACAGTCTGTGAGTGTCCTCAGCAGCCATGGCTGTGGATGTCTGAGGGATGGTGAGGGCTGTTTCAGTCCTTCTGTTTGTTTTCCTTTTTCTCCAAGGAGAGAATATGAATGAGAGCACCTGTCTTGACACTAGTGCAGTATATGAGGACACTCATGGACTAGCCCCAGAGCCCAGGTCTAGAGCATCACTGTGCTTGGGCGCTTTCGCCCCAGGAATGGATTCACAGATATGTTTGCTGCAGCAATGGTAGTGATCTTTGTGGGGTGGCTGGGGGACTTGGTGTAGAAGTCAGGCATGTGGAATGACAGTGACTCTAGAACTCAGGGCATCAGCTAGCTCACTTTGGTGATATACAAGATATTTGGGCCGGGGGTTTGTGGAGCAGTGGTAGAGCTGTAGCACATAGTGTAGGCATATGCACAGCACATGGTGATAGGCCCAGGGCAGTGTTAGCCTGTGGAAGTGCTTTTTCTAGTGTCAGAGCTGCAAGCATGCCCAGATCACTTACGGCTCTGTGGTTTGGAGCACATGTGGATTTTGGAGGAGTGGTCACAGTCCAAGAGCAGCAGCACAACAATGGCTCCTTTTTGAGGGTAAGGCCGAAGCAGCTTCTCCCCAGTTAGCTGGCCTGTGGTGGGATTGATGGTAGTTACCTTCATGGGAAAAGTTGCCAATGTCTCATGCAGAGTAGGTCACAGGGGACCAAGGTAGCAGCCACCATAAGGCTGATACTTGTTCTTGTTACCTCCAGATGTCCTAGGTATGCTGTTCTTCCCCAGAAACCCTTTCTAAGCAGTCACTTTCGTGTGTGTGTGTGTGTGTGTGTGTGTGTGTGTGTGTGTGTGTGTGTGTGTTAGAAAGATGAAGGTTAGACTCTTCTCTGCCATGTTGCCTTTGTTTTTGTTTTTGTTTTGTTTTTCTGCCTCCTCCTGAATTCTGGGATCATAGACCTAGGCCATCACCCTGACCTGCCATGTTGTTAAAAGTATTTTTTTTTTAATTTTGAGAATGAAACTCTATACTGGTTACCTTAGTTTGCTTTCTATTGCTGTAATAAACACCATGACCAAAAGTGACTTGGAAAAGAAAGGGTCTATTTGGCTTACATATCCTGGGTCACAGTCCATTGAGGGAAGTAAAGTCAGGGACTTAAGCAGAGTGCATGGGAAAAGCTGTTTACTGGTTTGTTCCTTGTGACCCATTCAGTTTTCTTTCTTATACATCCCATAACCACTTGCCTAGGGATGGCACCA